CGTCCTTGAAAAATCTATTTTCAATTATTTTCAAATAAATCAAAATACTTTGCATATATGCTGTTAGAAAATCTTACAAACTTTTTTTATGTAACATCTTTTTTCAATTTTAACCCGAAAAAGGGTTATTTTTCAATTTTAACCCAAAAAAGGGTTATTTTGCAATTTTTTAAGAATTTTTTGATTTTTTCAATTTTTTATTATTATTTTTTATTATTTATTGTTGTTTTTTTAATTTTTAGTTAGTAACCTATAATATTGTGTCTAATTTTAAGTGTCATTAAAATCAAATGTTTTTAACTTAATAATTTTAACATTTCTTAATTTAAAACGAAACATCTTCTATTATATTAAGTTAACAAATTTCGAAAAACGACACCGACCCCGTGACCTCGACACCGTCCTTGAAAAATCTATTTTCAATTATTTTCAAATAAATCAAAATACTTTGCATATATGCTGTTAGAAAATCTTACAAACTTTTTTTATGTAACATCTTTTTTCAATTTTAACCCGAAAAAGGGTTATTTTTCAATTTTAAACCGAAAAAGGGTTATTTTGCAATTTTTTAAGAATTTTTTGATTTTTTCAATTTTTTATTATTTTTTTTTATTATTTATTGTTGTTTTTTTAATTTTTAGTTAGTAACCTATAATATTGTGTCTAATTTTAAGTGTCATTAAAATCAAATGTTTTTAACTTAATAATTTTAACATTTCTTAATTTAAAACGAAACATCTTCTATTATATTAAGTTAACAAATTTCGAAAAACGACACCGACCCCGTGACCTCGACACCGTCCTTGAAAAATCTATTTTCAATTATTTTCAAATAAATCAAAATACTTTGCATATATGCTGTTAGAAAATCTTACAAACTATTTTTATGTAACATCTTTTTTCAATTTTAACCCGAAAAAGGGTTATTTTGCAATTTTTTAAGAATTTTTTGATTTTTTCAATTTTTTATTATTATTTTTTATTATTTATTGTTGTTTTTTCAATTTTTAGTTAGTAACCTATAATATTGTGTCTAATTTTAAGTGTCATTAAAATCAAATGTTTTTAACTTAATAATTTTAACGTTTCTTAATTTAAAACGAAACATCTTCTATTATATTAAGTTAACAAATTTCGAAAAACGACACCGACCCCGTGACCTCGACACCGTCCTTGAAAAATCTATTTTCAATTATTTTCAAATAAATCAATATACTTTGCATATATGCTGTTAGAAAATCTTACAAACTTTTTTTATGTAACATCTTTTTTCAATTTTAACCCGAAAAAGGGTAATTTTGCAATTTTTTTAGAATTTTTTGATTTTTTCAATTTTTTATTATTATTTATTATTATTTATTGTTGTTTTTTCAATTTTTAGTTAGTTACCTATAATATTGTGTCTAATTTTAAGTGTCATTAAAATCAAATGTTTTTAACTTAATAATTTTAACATTTCTTAATTTAAAACGAAACATCTTCTATTATATTAAGTTAACAAATTTCGAAAAACGACACCGACCCCGTGACCTCGACACCGTCCTTGAAAAATCTATTTTCAATAATTTTCAAATAAATCAAAATACTTTGCATATATGCTGTTAGAAAATCTTACAAACTTTTTTATGTAACATCTTTTTTCAATTTTAACCAGAAAAAGGGTTATTTTTCAATTTTAACCCGAAAAAGGGTTATTTTGCAATTTTTTAAGAATTTTTTGATTTTTTCAATTTTTTATTATTATTTTTTATTATTTATTGTTGTTTTTTTAATTTTTAGTTAGTAACCTTTAATATTGTGTCTAATTTTAAGTGTCATTAAAATCAAATGTTTTTAACTTAATAATTTTAACATTTCTTAATTTAAAACGAAACATCTTCTATTATATTAAGTTAACAAATTTCGAAAAACGACACCGACCCCGTGACCTCGACACCGTCCTTGAAAAATCTATTTTCAATAATTTTCAAATAAATCAAAATACTTTGCATATATGCTGTTAGAAAATCTTACAAACTTTTTTTATGTAACATCTTTTTTCAATTTTAACCCGAAAAAGGGTTATTTTTCAATTTTAACCCGAAAAAGGGTTATTTTGCAATTTTTTAAGAATTTTTTGATTTTTTCAATTTTTTATTATTATTTTTTATTATTTATTGTTGTTTTTTTAATTTTTAGTTAGTAACCTATAATATTGTGTCTAATTTTAAGTGTCATTAAAATCAAATGTTTTTAACTTAATAATTTTAACATTTCTTAATTTAAAACGAAACATCTTCTATTATATTAAGTTAACAAATTTCGAAAAACGACACCGACCCCGTGACCTCGACACCGTCCTTGAAAAATCTATTTTCAATTATTTTCAAATAAATCAAAATACTTTGCATATATGCTGTTAGAAAATCTTACAAACTATTTTTATGTAACATCTTTTTTCAATTTTAACCCGAAAAAGGGTTATTTTGCAATTTTTTAAGAATTTTTTGATTTTTTCAATTTTTTATTATTATTTTTTATTATTTATTGTTGTTTTTTCAATTTTTAGTTAGTAACCTATAATATTGTGTCTAATTTTAAGTGTCATTAAAATCAAATGTTTTTAACTTAATAATTTTAACATTTCTTAATTTAAAACGAAACATCTTCTATTATATTAAGTTAACAAATTTCGAAAAACGACACCGACCCCGTGACCTCGACACCGTCCTTGAAAAATCTATTTTCAATAATTTTCAAATAAATCAAAATACTTTGCATATATGCTGTTAGAAAATCTTACAAACTTTTTTTATGTAACATCTTTTTTCAATTTTAACCCGAAAAAGGGTTATTTTTCAATTTTAACCCGAAAAAGGGTTATTTTGCAATTTTTTAAGAATTTTTTGATTTTTTCAATTTTTTATTATTATTTTTTATTATTTATTGTTGTTTTTTTAATTTTTAGTTAGTAACCTTTAATATTGTGTCTAATTTTAAGTGTCATTAAAATCAAATGTTTTTAACTTAATAATTTTAACATTTCTTAATTTAAAACGAAACATCTTCTATTATATTAAGTTAACAAATTTCGAAAAACGACACCGACCCCGTGACCTCGACACCGTCCTTGAAAAATCTATTTTCAATTATTTTCAAATAAATCAAAATACTTTGCATATATGCTGTTAGAAAATCTTACAAACTATTTTTATGTAACATCTTTTTTCAATTTTAACCCGAAAAAGGGTTATTTTGCAATTTTTTAAGAATTTTTTGATTTTTTCAATTTTTTATTATTATTTATTATTATTTATTGTTGTTTTTTCAATTTTTAGTTAGTAACCTATAATATTGTGTCTAATTTTAAGTGTCATTAAAATCAAATGTTTTTAACTTAATAATTTTAACATTTCTTAATTTAAAACGAAACATCTTCTATTATATTAAGTTAACAAATTTCGAAAAACGACACCGACCCCGTGACCTCGACACCGTCCTTGAAAAATCTATTTTCAATAATTTTCAAATAAATCAAAATACTTTGCATATATGCTGTTAGAAAATCTTACAAACTTTTTTTATGTAACATCTTTTTTCAATTTTAACCCGAAAAAGGGTTATTTTTCAATTTTAACCCGAAAATGGGTTATTTTGCAATTTTTTAAGAATTTTTTGATTTTTTCAATTTTTTATTATTTTTTTTTATTATTTATTGTTGTTTTTTTAATTTTTAGTTAGTAACCTTTAATATTGTCTCTAATTTTAAGTGTCATTAAAATCAAATGTTTTTAGCTTAATAATTTTAACATTTCTTAATTTAAAACGAAACATCTTCTATTATATTAAGTTAACAAATTTCGAAAAACGACACCGACCCCGTGACCTCGACACCGTCCTTGAAAAATCTATTTTCAATTATTTTCAAATAAATCAAAATACTTTGCATATATGCTGTTAGAAAATCTTACAAACTATTTTTATGTAACATCTTTTTTCAATTTTAACCCGAAAAAGGGTTATTTTGCAATTTTTTAAGAATTTTTTGATTTTTTTAATTTTTTATTATTATTTTTTATTATTTATTGTTGTTTTTTCAATTTTTAGTTAGTAACCTATAATATTGTGTCTAATTTTAAGTGTCATTAAAATCAAATGTTTTTAACTTAATAATTTTAACGTTTCTTAATTTAAAACGAAACATCTTCTATTATATTAAGTTAACAAATTTCGAAAAACGACACCGACCCTGTGACCTCGACACCGTCCTTGAAAAATCTATTTTCAATTGTTTTCAAATAAATCAAAATACTTTGCATATATGCTGTTAGAAAATCTTACAAACTATTTTTTTTTATAAGTCCAAAAAAATTAGGGACTTAGAAAAATATTGATTTTTTTTATTTTTAATACTTAATTTTCATTTACAATAATGTAAAGTTATAATATGTTTTAACTTATTTATCGCATCCATTCTGCAATTATCGTAAGTTGTTTTATTTCTTATTAATTTTTAAATTAATTTTTTATAATTCATTTTCATATGAGTGATGTTATTAATAAATTATTATAATTTATTATATTATTTTCGTTATGTTACGCAGCCGTTACTACTCAGCGCAGCCAGTTTACAGTTTTTGTTATTACTTGATTATATTTTATATATTTTTTTCTTTTAAATGGTTTTTTAATCCTTTCTATTCGATATGATCAGTATAATAATAATTATAATATTTTTTTATGGCGCTGCCGTTACAGTTCAGCGCAGCCATTTCCAATTCAATGAATTAATTTATTTATAAAGTAGAGTTAGTAGATTTCTTCGTAGTCGAATTTTTTTACAACATGTGTTAAATATTATTGTAATATTTCTTGGTAAACAATGTTTCTTACATAAATTTCTTTTTCATTGCCTATCTTTTTTTTATTCCTTTTTCGCTAAGTGTAATACTTGCATTTTTATATAATAATACTTTAAGATTATATTTTGAAGTTACTCTTGATAATGCAACATATAATTGTCACGGACTAAAAACATGTGAAGGAAGGTATATGCCTACTTTTTGGAAAGATTGGCCTTGAGATTTGTTGATTGTTAAAGCAAATCCAAGCCTTATTGGAAATTGCTTTCTTGACATTTGAAATGGTATTTCTTCGTTAGACGGTGACAATGTAATTCGTGGCAAAATTACAATCTCATTTTTATAATTTCCCGTTATTACTTGTGCATGAATAGAAAAACTACCCATTTTAATAACTTTTAGTCTTGTTCCATTACAAAGACCTCTTTCTAAATTAATATTCCTTAAAAGTATCACAATTGCACCAATCTTTAATATTAATTTGTGAGGAGGAAGTCCATTTGGAGTTAAAATATTTAATACTTCAATTGGTATTAAGTTAGTTATTGTGTCACACTTTTCATCTTCTTCAGATGAATCTATACTTAAATATTCTCTAGGTTCACCTGTCATTCGTTTAACAACATCATTATTTAATTCAAATACATCATTATTCCGGAGAACTAGTAATATATGTAAAATCAAAGAAGAATCTCTTTATAACGGTTTACTATAGATAATAAAAATAAAAACCGATATTTTAAAAAGTATTTCGATTTATTACGAATATTTTTCTCAAAAATTTGCAAAATCTACATGTGTTTGTGGGAAAATTTACATCAATATAATATAATATAATTTAAGATAAAAAAAATATATTATAATATATAATATAATTAATATTGTTGTCATAATTATAATAAAAAAAATCTAATATTTAACAATTGTCATTTCATCCTTCAATGAAACTGATCAAAATTAAGATAAATTTTATACAATATTAATAAGATATTAATTTAAATCATAAATTATATATATAATATACATAAACTACAATAAGTAAACAACAATAAGTACAATTTTAACCGAGCGTGCGTTAGCGAGCGAGGAATACATCGCTATTATATATTAAAATAACATATATATTTTTTTACAATGCGAATTTGTCAAACGGCAATTTCTTTTCTTAAATAAAGAAATAGAAAAGTTTCGTTTACAAGAATGATCAATTATTTATCACTTATCACTATTTGTCAGTATTTTTTTATTTATGCAGATGTAGAGAGTAATTATATAAATAAAAAACTTTATAACAAAAACATATTTGTCGAACTTTTTTTTCTAATTTTTTATAAAAAATTCAAAATATTTTTTTTTGAAAAACAAAATTTTTTGTCTTATAGCAAAAAAACGACAAAATCCAATGAACAAAATTTATGTCAATATTTGTTATCTAGACTGAAAAAAAAATTTATTTGGATCGAATAAAAAGTATTTGATCCAAATACACATCTACTAAATCTGAGTATTTTATTTTATTGTGCCAAATAAATAATAATTTGTATCAAATACAAAGTAATCAAATCAAATAAATGGAATATTCAAAGCTAATAAATAATTATTTGAATCAATTATGAAAATTATTTCATTTAATACTGCATGTTTTTTAATTCAAATAAATATTTATTTGCATCAATAAAATATTTTTCTTGAAACAACTAAAAATTTGTTGAATCAAATATTTGATTATTTATCCTAAGTAATTGTGTTTTAATTGAAACTAAAACCTCTTTAATTGTGACAATTTTTGTTTTATTTGATCAAAATACATAATTTATTTGCATAAAATGTAAGAATTTTTTGATTCAAAAAAATCAAAGTTTGAATTGAATAAATAACATATTTATTTACTAATTCTTCCATTTCTAAATTAAATTCTTACTCAAATAAATAAATTAAAAAATATGTAATTTCTGCATACTATTATCGCATATTTTCATTTTTCATCATATTTTTTTTATATTTATGTTAATGATATTAACATAAGTTATCTAACTTAATCTTATTTTAATATATATATTTTTTTTACAGGAAGATATCAGTTCCAGCGGATCAAGCGATGAAGATATCGCTAAAATTGTCGAGAAAGTTCTAAAAAGAGTTATGCATCAGAAGAAGGCGAAAAAAGAAAAACAAAGGTATGCCACATTTTTTGTTACATATAATGTTATATTGTGAATTTCAAAAATTGTCAATCTACTTCCAAATTTTTTTTCTTGAAAATGCATCACATGTTCACTCTGTTCTGTATTCAGTTTTCTAAAATTTACCTTATTTTCATTTCTTATAACAGAATCTTTTTTATAATATTTTCCTGATTCTTTAAATTCAAGTTGTTTGTTATTCGTTTTTCAGCAAAAAAATTAAATATTTACACTGACAATTTCAAAAATTTTCTTTTTTTTTTAATGATATTTGAATTAACTTAGAATTGTCATTTATTTCCTCGTGTTCTTCGAATTTCTTATTCTCATATTCCTAACTTGTTAATTTTATTTCAATACAATGTAGATTTCGTTTTTGGTGATTTTTTATTAAATTTGTTCTTTTTCGGTATATAAACTTTATATATTTTTTTATACAATCTGTTTAATAAAATCTCATTTTAATTTATTTTCTTTTTTGAAAATTTATCAATTATTCACGTTTTTCTAAATTCCGTTTTCTATTTTAATTTATTTTTATTTCTTATAACAGTATGTTTTAATAATATTTTCCAAATTCTCTAAATTCAAAATCTTAAATTTCTCCATTTCTCTATTTTCAGTTTCTGAGAAAGCACTGTTGACCGCTGCAGGGCCTTCATTTGGCGAGAATGGTAATTCAAAAAAGCAAGAATTAAAGAAACAAGAATCTGCAAAAAAGAAATAGTTAGAAGATAAAGAAAATTAAAAAAAAAGATTTGGAAAATAAGGAGAAATGTAGAAGAAGTGATTCGAAAAAACAATTAGAGAAAAATGATTTAATGAAAAAAGAAGAAAAGATACAAAATGATGGTAATTATATTGTCGTTTCAAAATCATTAATTTATTAATCTCTTTAAATATTTACATAAATATGTTCATGAATGTTAATATTTTTTTTTAGGAAATGGCAAGGTTAATGTTGAAACAAATTCAGAAGAAAATTCTTCTTCTGTATCGGACGAAGAAGACCCTACAAATAATGAAGAGGCATAAAAGGAAAAGAGAAGGCATTAAAAAGAACTGAAGGTATATATTTTTTAAAATCATTTTTCCTTTTATATTTTTTTCAATATTTTAACATTCTTTTTATCCTTCCAATTCTCTAAATTCAAATTCTTAAATTGCTCTACTTTTTTTGTAATGTTTTGCCATATTATATCCTAAAATTTGTGTATCTTTTCATTTTTTCCAAAAAAATTGCTGTTTAAAATTTAATATAGGGTCAGTTGGGGTAAATGGGAACAAAAACCTATTTTTCATAAATTACGTAAGTTTCTCCCTTTAAAAGGTAATATTTTCGGGTTTATTTTTTTTAGGTTTTTATTTACATTTCCAGGATTAATTTAAGCAATAAAAAAAATTTAGTTAAGCTTTAATCGCATGAAACTGACTGTCCCCATTTACCCCAAGATTTAGAAAATTTAATAAAAATTGGGGTAAATGGGGACAGCATAGTTTCTAAGGAAGGTTTAAGAAAAAAGTTTCCTTAAGAGCATTTGAACCTACGTGACGTCATGAATCATGGAGCTTAACACGCAAACTTCTCAGGTGTGTGAAAAGCACAATTTTGAATATTTTTTAAAAAAACCTTTTGCAAAAAGTTCAGAATAACATAGAGTTTGTCTGTTATGTGCGGGAAATTAAAAATTTTGCGTTTAAAACGTTTTTTAAACAATGTTAAAGTTGCTTGTAAGAGGTAAGGAAAACTGCACGAATTGCCTATATATAGGCGTTTCTTTAGAAAAACCAGGATAAGAATTGTAAAGTTCTTATCTAATTTATTAAATATTTAAATTGATTTTATTATAAATAATAACTAAAATGTTTCCTCAAACATGTTCACTCAAGTGTCAACTCGCGTGGTGGTGGAGTACTCATTGCATCTCATATATCTCTTAATGCCGCTTTAATAACTAATAAAATACTCTCAATTGAATATCTCTTTGTTAAAATACTGCTTATGTCTACTATTTACATTATTGGTTCTTTTTATATCTCTCCAAATAAAACAATTGATGATTATGTTACTATGTGTCGAGTTCTTGAAGATATTCAGGATCAACTTCCATCTGCTGTTATTTACATCCTTGGAGATTTCAACTTGCCCTATGTATCATGGAATACTGTGTACAGCCTTGGTCCCTCATGTACCAGTCATGGAAATTTAAAAGTGCACACAACAATTGCGAATATTGTCTCTGACACTATTGACTTTCTGAATTTAAATCAAGTCAATAATTTTTTTTACAGTCATGGTTCTTTACTGGATTTAGTGTTTACAAACTCATTACATTTTGATCTATCTTTGGCCATTGATAATATACTATATGTTGACACCTATCATCCTCGTTTATTATTAAATATTCATACTACTAATATACCTTCTTCGGTTATAAATAAATCTGAATATCAACTTAAATATGATTTTAGTAAAGCTAATTTAGCTGCTATATGCACTTACTTGGATAATGTCAATTGGGAGAATTTGTTCGAATCGACTCACATAGATGAGGCAATTAATATTTTTTATTCTTATGTTTATACTGCTTTTGATTTTTTTGTCCCTATGAGAGTGATTCGTAGATAAAATTATCCGCCATGGTTCTGTGCTGAACTTAAACGTTTGACATATCTTAAAAAATTAGCACACATGAATTATAAACGTACTAATAGTCCGATTGATTATCGTTATTTTGCCTATTTGCGATACCTATGTAAAAAAACTTCCAAATCTTGTTATAGTAATTATATGTTTTGTATGGAACACAAACTGAAATCGAACCCTAAGCATTTTTGGAGTTATGTTAATAATTTACGACATGAATCGAGAATTCCAAACGAAATGTTTTTAGATAAAAAAAACTGTTAATAATAATAAGGACATCTCTGATGCATTTGCCTCTTTTTTTTCTTCAGTTTATACGAATTTTAACTCAGATACATACGTTCCAGATTTTCCACAGTTCGATAACATGTATTTAAAAGATATTGTTCTACGTGAGGAGGATGTTCTTGTTAAATTAAAATTACTAGATATATCTAAGGGCGCAGGTCAAGATGATATACCTCCCTCTTTACTTAAATCTTGTAGAATGTCATTTGTGCATCCATTGTTGTGCAATTCCTAAGATTTTCGAAAGTTTGGTTTTTGATATAATGTATGCATATTCAGTGAATTTAATTACTCAACAGCAACATGGATTCATGAGAAAAAGATCCGTTATCACAAACTTATGTATATTTGCAAGTTACGTAATTAATGCTTTAGAAAGTAAATATCAAGTAGATGCTATATATACTGATTTTTCGAAGGCTTTCGACAAGATAAATCATGGTATTCTTGTGGCAAAGCTTAGGGCCTTGGGATTCTCTACAATAATTACGAGATGGATAAATAGTTATTTGTCAGATCGACCATCGCCGGTAC